TTGGTGTCGTGCTATTTCGTTTAGGTGACGAAGAACGTCCTTCAGAAGGAACGGTCGTTGTGGTGATATACTCCACTGTACACTAAATAAAAAATAATTGCAATTCACAAAGTTACTAAATTACTTATGAAACCACTTAGCACTATTTAAATAAAACTGTTTTTGGAAATACTGAATCGACAGCAAGGTGATCCAAGTTTCTCCCGCCATAATGCTTTCTATGTGTTAAACGTGCTTATGTTTGTATGTTTATTACAAAAAAAATGGCGCAATAATCATTCATTGTCAATTTTGTCATTAAATACTACACCAAATACAAATTAAATAGCACCATTAAATTTCTTGTAAAAAACTGGTTATCGTGAACTTATTTTAAAATTTGCAAGTTCAACCGTTTGATTTCCTATAGCTAACAAATAAACAAATTTCCTCTTTTATATATATATGTAGATAGATATGTTATTTTAAAACAAGTAGATTTTGTGCTAACAAATAAACAAACTTCCTCTTTTATATAGATAGATAGATATGTTATTTTAAAACAAATGGATTGTGTGCTGTTCGTTTATTGTTTGAATTTATCGCCAACAAGTCACAGACACCTACTCTAAAGAATCCAAGTCCATTTATATATATATAATCTTGACAATGGGTTAGAGCAATGTATACACATTAGTCGTCTAGTAAAAAATCAACTTTACGAAGCTCGATTCTGACAATCTAAATGTTGAATAGTCGTCCAGTTGCTGCTCTGAACTGATGATTCAATTTGAAAGCTGAGTTCTGCCAGTTGCGTCGAGCCCATTTTGTCAAACAATGACCATCTTACGGGTATTTCAACAATGGTATTCACAGTCCAGACCTTTGGCCAACTGTACTGATGGCCTGAAAGTGAGTTCACATCCTGCTAGCCCCATTTTGAGTGATTTATAGACCATTCTGCGATTACTTGTATTTTACCGGTTTCTAGCCTTATTATTGCTCTTCACATCATGGAAATGTCCAAATATCTTTGTTAACGTCCCGACATGTTTCATTCTCGATCTATTATTTCACACACTGCTGTTGTTAAAACTTCTGAGAACACACCATATTTTTCTCACTTTTATATGTACCACTAAAATATGCATATTAAATTGAATGACGTAAATATTAACTCAGAGGTGCCATTTACATCATTTAGTAACTGTAGTTGTGCCTTTTAAATTTATATTCAAAAGATGTTATACCTCACCAATCATTGCTGTGAAATGACATAATATAACAAAACCATATTAAAATTATCTGTAAATGTTTGTTTGGAATTACTCCATTTATTCCCATTAAAACCATTTTATTTTATGAGAAATATTAACTCTAATTTATATTTCTAAGACTGTTATTAATCATGCTCTATACATATACACAACTTCTTAAAACAAAAAATTAAGTCATCACTGTAAAAAACCGTAACCCAACGAAACAAAACCTTCCAAAAAATGGAAAATAAAATATATCGTAAAGCTAATTTTGTAGAAATTATTTGTACTATAAATCATATACAAATAGAAAATCATCGTGGTGTAGAAAAATATATACAAGTCTTCCCACTGTATCGTTTTATGCAAGATTTTCTTGAAATTCCACAAATTCATACGATGATTGATTCTACTTCAGAAGAGAACGAGAAATACCCTATTTTTATCGAAAATTAAAATTATTTCCAGATTATAATTTCACAAATTAGATATGTATTGAAAAGACTACTCTCTGTTTCTGAGAGGTACATAACAAAAATTATTCAAAACAATACTATAAATTAGCGCTGGTTCCAAAGAACATTTAGGTACCAAGATGCTTCTATATACGGAATAAAGAATACCGAAGTTCTCACCCACTAGTACTTTTTCCCAACCCAATAAAGCATTGGCTTTCAAAACAGTAAAATCGAAAAACTTCCAACTGAGAAATAACCTAAAGTTTAAGTATTCACTGGATAAAATCTAAAACTTTGGTTTCAATATTGGGTCACATCGTTTCGAAATGGTATATTACCTTGTTTTCAGCTTTCAACAGTTTCACTTCCAAAGCTGAACAAGAACAATAATGACTTGTCTTTAGAATTATACGCAAAACAACTCGAAGACTACTCGTCTATTATTTTGAAATGACAGAATATAGGGAAGACAGCTAGTCAACACCGTCAATTCTTTACCAACGAATAGTGGAATATACCGTTACATTATAACGCCACACAAAGCTGAAAGGGCAAGCATGTTAGGTGACTGGTGAACTGTAATGGGCTATATAAACCATGGTGTGAAGCTGGCAAAAGAAATCTAACCCAAACCTCATTTCGAATTATTTTCACATCACACCACGTATAAAATTTGCCTGATAACGGACGCATTTTAGATATTATTACAACTTTTTAATCATATTAAGCTTTTAATCCAACTTATGCAGTAATCTAATTCCTTCCTCATCCATGAAATCTATACATTTCTAAAAGTCTTAATTACACAATAATGATGATGTTGAATGAGACGTAAGACAAAGCAACAGAACTAGACACTTTACCGACAATTTGCAACACCCCCGTGATTACAGCATCACGCCTAACATGGTAAAAGTTCAAAATGATTGTTACAAAGTTATATTTTGTTGATGAATATTTAACAATAACTCAAAGATGCCGATATCTTACTTTTCATTCTGTCTAAAGTAATCACTGCATTTCCGCTTCCTATCAAGTCAGTCCGGAAGTGTGTTGCCGTTGATATCCAGATTTGGTTTTGCCCAGTTCATACACTGCATGTCGCTACACGTAACTTAAAGTTCACGGTATGACTCGCATAAAAAGAGTAACCACAAATAAAAAAACTGTCTGACAATCAGATGTTACCAAAATGACTTGTGCCATTCTTTCGTAAGGAAATATGTGGCCTATTGCCTATAAAGTATAATGTGATACACTTGTGGTAAAACCTTTCTTCCTCTCCGCTTCTCCAAATTGTGTTCGTTTTAAGTTTTTCTTAGCTACAAAGATATGTTCAGGACTTACTGGGCGGGATTTCAAAAATTTTGTAGAGTGAACAAGTAAATACAAGTACACAGGAAACTTTCATTCTCTACCTTTTCAATTGGAAGAAACCACTTTAAATCCAGATTTTTATACCTACATTTATAAAATTCAATATTGTGCTGTGTATCCCCATTTAATTCGAATATTTTATTGTAATACATTTCATCGGTGTAATTAGGCAAAGTACAAGGTATATGTGCTGTAGTAAAATAGCGTGAAACAATTTTGTACAAAATACATAAACATGTTTGGAGAACATATGACAGGAATTATTTATTTAAACATTAGTTACATTAGTATAAACTTGAACACAGCGTTAAACCAAAGTACCCGCTGATGTATACAACAGTATACATAGTAATAATATACAACAAAAGTACTAACGAATAGATAACATACATATATACCCCAGATTACCATTCAGATACTTCAAAAAGTAACTCAGATGTGCAAAATACAAAACGTATGACTAGATCACAATCACATTGAATGAATTATGTCTGAGTTGCATATAAATTAGTGTTTGGAAACAAAGAAACCACACACACAGGGATAGGTGATATACAAGTATTTAAAATAACCACGGTAAATATTCAGATTCCAAATACAAATGAATGAGATTTCTATAATAGTCATTTTCAATACTACAGTAATACCTCAGGATACATTATTGTAATTTCATAACTGATGGTAAAACATTCAACGAGTTCCCTTAACCAAAAATAAATTGGTTCAGATTCTAGATGTGCTAACAATGATATACCAAGTTTCTATCTTGGTTACCTTATTGCATGAGTAACTTAATAAAATAACGTTTCAGAGATCAATGACAAAATGATCAGTATGAATCAAATTCACGTGAAAAATAACTCTGCTTGAGAAAACGGTACTTTGCTTGTTCAGCTGTTGAATTTTGTACAAAGCTACTCAAGGGCTTACTGCACTAGTTGTCCCTGATTTAGAAGTGATAATGCAACTAGTCAACACCATCCTCTACCAATTCTTAGGCTATTCTTTATCAATGCATAAAGAGATTGACTGCTACATTATAACACCCCCATGGTTGATAGGGCGAGCACATTCAGAGATGGAATTAAAACTCCTTACCCACAGATTGTGAGTCAAGCATCCTAACCACAGGTACTCTTAAATTATTTTAGCTCATCTTAAGATGCATGGCAGTAAGAAAAAAGCTAATGACGAAAAAATAATAATTCAAGCAAGTAAACTGTTCTGTATATAGAATGTTCTTCACATTTTACCACGAAAGAATCAACATTTTCAGGGTTACAGAAGATGAGTTTTTAGGAAAACTTATCTTGGAATCTCTATATGAAAACTAGTTTCCAAAATAATAAAACTACAAGCTTTAAGGGTGTTAAAATGAATTATGAGTTATTTATAAATGGGTGTACATGTAATGTTGTTTAAACGTCAAGTAACGGTGTTCTAAACATGCAAGAGCTTCTTAAAGCTCAGCTGCTACATCTGTATTAATAAAACTAAAATGACATCAACATAAACTTTATTACTATCTTTAATAATAGTAAAAAACAAAAGCAATAAAATCCTGCAAACTTGTATATAACTGTCAAATAGTTGCATACAATGTATGATAATCACCCAATACCTGCAAGTTTTATACAACAAAAATACAACTGTTTTCAACAAAAGTAATTATGCAACTTTAATAACCATTTTCTTCATCCTAAAATTTAAAAATTTATTTACTCTGTATAACACAGTTACAAAGCAAAGTGTAATTTTAAAAATGCATGTATTTTATCAAATGTTTAAAGTGTGACTACACAAATGACACTTCCAACACAACCAAATGATAGTCATAACAGCAAGTTAGATGTAATGTATATTCGTACTGATACTATTCATTTGGAATACATCATTGCTGAATTAGATACACAAAACAAACTAAAACTCTAAATGCAGTCCAGTTGTTAAGGAAAACAAATCTTGGAAAAATGTTGAAATACAGTGTTATAAACACCACAAATATAAAGTGCAGCAATATTTGATTTAAAGTAATAAATGTTTTCCCATCCATCTTGGCTGCAGTAAGGCAATAAACTAGAGCCAACATCTAAATATGATAGTTTTCAATGACACAAAAATGGTAAACTAATTTATTTGAAATACCTGAAAACCTACAACTCCTAAACATAATTAATACTGTCAAACAACTAGTTACTAAAAAATAAGAAAAGGATTGTGAATAATTTAATAATTTTTTTTAATTAAACACACTATTTCAACAAAACATTGCTGAAGAAACATTTCTAGCATTCTGTTAAAGACAGCAGTTATCCTTTCACGTAACACTACTTACTCTGTAAGCTCATTAACTGACTGAATATACCATTAGGCCTTGTTATAGGGTTTATCACAATTATTGAAATATTCACAAAACAAACCTAGAAGACAATGTTCTCATTTGAAGAATCTTAAAGAATATGTACTAATAAGCAAAAATGTGAACTTCAAAATTCCATTTCAAGAAAACAAAAAATAACTCAATACACTGGAATATAAGTTTAGAAAAATAGCTAATTTGTTCTTGCATTTGTAATTATTCTTTCATATAATTTAAAACAAAAGAAAAAACCTGTAATCTTGCAAACTATATTTTGCAAATAAATTAATGATAGTATGAAGTTCATGCAAGTGTAATATTTGAAATTTCTAGTCACAAAAACTAAAATGAAGACAAATCATTGAAGTCTTCTATACATTTATCAAAGAGATTGATTTACTACCTGTAAGCACTTCGATTAATTACCTGATGTAATTCTAAAGAACATATTAAATTATTTAGTCTAGCATCATGAAGGGTATTCTTCATTCATCATTAATAAACTTTCAGTACTTTTATTAAATCATTAAACACCTAGTATTTAAAACTACTAGATAATTAAAACAAACTATGACATTTAAAAAATCTACTCTCAAATCCACCAAAGGAGAAAAATAAAGAAATCCAGTAAAAAAAAAAAAAAGTTCCACTTTCTTTGTATTTTACTGACAAGCATTTTCAAGGCTTTTACTTCTTAATTATATAAACAACTTATTTTTCTAAATAAACAGATTTTTTAATTTTATAAGCAGTGGTAATAGTGAGGCTTATTGGTTGAATTTTGGTCTTTAATGAATAATCAAAATGCTATCTTTTTCAGCATCTAACTTCTTCAGGCAATCCTATGATCTTAGTCTTTGACATATCTAGAAACTTTAGTTACTCAAATTAAGAACTTAAGTTTTCAGAAACAGGTTTAATGTGAAAGCATTATTTACAAAGTTACTTTGATAAAACATTAAATTCAATGTATATCTGGTGTATAATCATGTCATACATATGTTTATTTAATGAATATCAGTTTGCACCAACTGATGGTGATACTGTGGTGACTGAAAATATATTTTTTCCCTTCCATAACTAGTAAAGAGTAGATCTTTATTTAGGTACATTATAGTAATTTTTGTACAGTTGCTCTGCATGCAGTTATGACATCCTTGTAAGCAAAATTTTATACTTTTACTAATTGTCTAATTTACACAAAGATTTCATAACACAAAATATTGTTCCATACGGCTTATATTTGTATGGCCCTCTTTCTGTGTCAAGCTCTTCTGAAGTGAAGTCATACTCATTCCAAGGATGATACAGAAACTTACTAAAGTTTGTATGAGTTTTGGGTTTATCTCCCTTAGGTATGTGTAATGGGAACAATTGCTTTAGTAGGTAATCTAAAAATCTAAAGAGGCGCAGATGCAACACTTGCCCTTACATCGATCATAGAACACCTGTTAAGAGCTCTAAGTCAGCCTATACTGTTAATAGCCACTTCACATGTACATCTAAATGTTTCAATTATTGTGTTTATTTGTGTAACATCTGTGACCAAATCTACATAGAGAAACCAGCTGTATGCTCTCTGAATGCACACAAGAACACTTGCATAGCATTTTGATTAAAGATCCAGATAAACCTGTAGCTCGACACTCTAACAAAGCTAATCATTCCATTCTTAATTCCAGAGTAATTGCCCTAAGACATGCCCCCTCCAACACATTTAAAAGAATCAGAATTGAAAAAGAAATCATTTTCAAATTAGGCTGTATAAGTCCCTCTGGTATCAGTGAACATTTCTGTTTTTTTTATAAATTTTTAACATTAATTTTCTTTCTTTTTTAAATGATTTTATAATCGTTTTTTAAACTTTCCGATATTAACCGTTTAATTATATATATTTTTGTATAATCATATATTTCCTTCATTATCTTGTCACTATTTTTCTTTAGCCTTGTTACATTGTCAACACTATATTGTTTATTTCTCGTGTTTTTAACTCGCATTACATTTTTTTCTCATGTTTTTAACTCGTGTTACATTCTTTTTTTGTGTATTGTTCACTTTCAGAACACTCTGCAGTAGTTCAATATTATCTGTGTTTTGGCTTTAAAAAGAGTGAAACATCGCCATTACATAAAACTAAGATTTTAAGGTGTTTTATCTCAAAAAGTGTAATTTACTTATTTCATCACCTTCACATTTTTCAGTTTGTTCATTTGCTGATATATATATATAGGTTCAAGCACTAGGTATCCCTATAAGTACTACAGAGTAAGTCATTATAAACTTAAAATTTATATTCTACATTTTATTCTACTTGGAATGAAGATTTTTGACCTAGTTAAATCTAGTGGCAGCTTCATGATGATTATGTTGGTTAAAAGGCTAGAAATAAAAAATACTAAATATTTCAATTCTGTTTCAGCAAAAATGTGTGATTCAAGTTACTTAACAAAATTGGGATTGAGTATTTGTCAACTTACTTGGTACAATACACTTTTTCTTACCAAATACATGAAATTAGCTAAATTCCTAAGTTAGTAAAGAAGTACAATACTGGCTTTAAAAGCATTATTGAAAGCATAATCCAACACTAAACTGAAGTAAAGTACAGACTTCATGAAAAATAACCTTATGTTCAAAGAGCTTACAAAGTAAGTGTCACAATTTGATAATTTACAAAGTATTTGTAGTGTTATAATAGCAATATACAAAATTAAGCATTTATACAAATGAGTATAACATCAAAAGGATGTTTCACATACTGAAACAAAGATAATGCTTTAAGCACTATCAAGTCTATTCTTCAAAACTACTTACCCATATACTACACATGTATTCTTTTTAGCTGAGTAACATTTGCAAATTATAAGACATTAAAAAGGTTTAATCACAGACAGCACTTATGAATTAACTTATTATCCTGATGAGCTTGTACCTTTAAGGAATGTAGGCATCACATAGCTGTAACAAGTTGTTTCATTTATAGAAACAGTTACATATAAATTTCTATTGTCCACGTTTCAGTTTCACAGTTTGCAAAAATATAACTGCAATCACAGTGAGAAAAATTAACTATGTGGTATAAAATCAAGTATAACCAGATATTATGCTACAATAAAAATAATAAACAGGGTCATAGCTTACTTTAAAAAGAAAAAGAATGGTACCCACTTGAAATGACCTACTTCTGCAAGAAGAGAAGGAATCTCCAGGCCTACTACCTAAATATGGTATATTTAAAATATACTCTTTCTTGAAAAGGAATAACTTGATAAGATGCAAAATTTTTTATCTAAACTGCTAAATAAGATTTATAAAAGCTTTATTATTTCTTGTTAAATCTTCACAAACTGTGAGGCCTAATAACTACTGTCCATCCAAAAACCACCCACGTACATGTACTGGGTTCTTTAGACACAATGCTTATTTATAAAATAAAAACAACTTTAAAATGCTTGAACTTTTCTGTATCAGATTATATTGCTTCCAAGTCTTTACTATACTAGATGTAAGATCATAACTTAATTTTTAACATAACATATAGTATAAGAGTTAAATAGGATAAAGAAAGAATAGTTGATAAGAGCAAACACAACATTATACAACATAGATGCATATGTGCTTAAATAAGTAATACAGAACGTCCATTTATTACCCTCATTCATACCAAATCTGACAGAGCTTTGTAGGTCAAAAGAGATCTGCTTGAATGATGTATATGTATGATATAGTGTAACTGAAAGACTAAAGGTGATTAGTTATGTACCATATATACCAATGTAATTAACAAAGATGTCATACCAAATCTGACAGAGCTTTGTAGGTCAAAAGAGACTTGCTTGAATGATGCATATGTATGATATAGTGTAACTGAAAGACTAAAGGTGATTAGTTATATACCAGATATACCAATGTAGTTAACAAAACTGTCGGACAAAACTCTCCTAGAGTGAGGTTTTTCATTATAAAACTTGAAGAAAGTCCTGTTATTTGACTGCTTTATTGTAATTAATGCATGTTTAATTCTAATAATAGTAAATATGTGCCTGAAACCTTCAGTCTTGATAAAACACACAAGAAGGTTGCCCACTAATGATGCTGTCATGGTGCAAATGAGAAAATATTTATATCTACTCACTATACTCCAAGCCACATGTAGTAACATCAGTACCAGTCACTGATTTTGTACATTGTAAAACAGTATGCCAATATCATAAATCTTCCGATTGAAATATCATAAAAGCTCAAGTCTCAGTAAGTCCTCCTTTTCATAGATGTCAGTAACCTAATGTAATATCACAAATGTCTAGTGAAACAATTAACTTCACCAAATATATTCAGTGCATTAATAAATTGATATTAATATTAATTAATTCAGAGAGTACTTTACACCATTTTCAGAACTCTACCTTGTTCATCTTTGGTGTTCTGAAGTAAACAAAAATATATTAATATCAGGATATTAGGATGAACTGGGGTCTAAAGGACCTGATTTATCAGATGGAGATTTGGTGGTTTTGTTAGAATTGGCATGCTGTGTAGGTATGAGTCTGGTGTGAAGTCCATAGGGTCGAAGATGATAGATTAGATACTCCATAACATACATCATGTTTGGACTGACATAATGAAAGGAGATGGCTGTATCACTGCAACAATTCATTCCCTGCAAAACACAAATGAAGAATTTTAATACTGAAGAAAATTATAAAGTTCTGATTGCTAACCATACAGTAGTATATTATACAAGTGTCTACATGTAAGCATTACATAGAATTGTCAACTACATATGCATTTGCAGAACACAACTCTTCATCTAGCATTGGTATTTAGAGAAATGTTTCCTTTAGAAACTTCGAACACTGAATTGCACTAACTTTCTATTAAATATTTAAATTTCTTTAGAACTTGTCATTAAATACTGTAGGTTAATGTGGTCTTTTTTAGTACAATGTTTTATTTCCTAGTAGTATTGTGCTCTATCATAATTTTAAAGTTTAAAATAGTGGTAAATAATTTTCTAATTTTCTCATGCAGTCTTTTCTTTCAGGAAGGAAACACTACTTTACAATGCACCAATTTTTTTTAACACAGCAAGCAGTCAGTGATAAAGTAGTTGTTTGAAATCATTATGTTGTCAAGTGTGTAAAAATATTCCTTTTTTTTTCATAATTTATCCATTTGCAAGTTGTTTCATAAAAGTTGAATTTTGTTTTGGAAAGCTATCTTTTTCAACATTACTACATAGGTAAGTTACTTGCAGCATTAGAACAGTTTAACAACAACTAATAAATATTATTAAAAAATGGACTAAAATATTTTCATTTCCCTTCAATTGTCTTAAAATTTACTCTTAACTCATCACTAGGCTTTTAAAATATTACTTTTATACTGTTGAGTTAATGGTCTGGAGTATTGCATTGATGAAAATAGGTTCTTTAACAAGCAAGTTTCTTGTTCTAATGTGAATGTCACATTCATTTTACCAGTGTGCTATGACTTATGAGTTGTTATACTAGACTGGTGATGCATGTTCACTAATTCTTTAACATACACATCAGTTAGCACAGCTAATGTAGACTTTTGAACACAAACAATAGGTATATTTGTAAACAATTAGTGATCTGAATGTTTTGAGAATATTACCTTCATAGCAAAAAAAAAAAGATGACAAAATCTAAAAGGACTTCTGAAGAATATTCTGAGAGTAATCTGTGGAAAGTTGATCTGTTAAAATAAAAGATCCTTCACTAAAGTAAGGTAGAACTAAGGTTAGGATGTGTTTCTTTGTAGTGGTAAGAACAATATGATTTTGTTTAAGAGTATGTCAATATTTTTTTCTAATATTTGTAATGTTGGAGCCAAGAGGATAATTAGTTTTCTGAAGCACTTACCTGATGTTAGGGGGTTCTTGATGGAACAGACATGAACTGCTAATGAAATTAAAAGCTCTGGGTGTTAACATTTATTTTAAATTTAACCTTAAGAGCTCAGGAACAAAATTTTGATAAGATTGGCATACACTGTAGTACAGGTGTTCTCAAGAAAACTTCCAGTAACAATATTAATATCATTATGTAGGACAAGGGTGTCCAAAAACAAAAAGAGAGAAAGTGTGAACTAAATTTGAATTTCTACAGCAGATTCTCTGTTGACATATTTCTTGAGATAGTCAAGGAAAATTTTAGCTTGGTTTGAATTTTGAAAAATAACAAAAGTATGATAAATGTATCTGATATAATAAAGAAGTTTAAGTTCTGAAGCAAAAAATATCTAATCATTGTTCTTTGTGGTGCCATAATAAATTAGCTAGAGCCTAAATTAGAACCTACAGCAATATCACAAATCTGTTCATAGATCTATTTATTAAAGATAAGATGGAAATCTTTAGTATCAAATTCCAGAAGTTTCTTAACAATGTTCTTAAGACAGCCTTTACAGTATCATCCCTTTCCTAAACCATATAAATAGCTATTTCAACAGTTTCAGTGAGAGAAACATTGGCAGTTCAATAACAAAACTGAACATACAGTCAATTTTGAAAACATCAAAGTTTCAACATGGTTAGAAAATGTAAAACTATCACAAATAGTGTTAGTAGAAGAAATTAAATACTTTAGAAAGTTATTGAGAAACTTTATAGTTTAATTGCCTTATTTTTATAACAATTATTTAGAAAATTTTAATAATTTTTATTGAACATTACAATCTTGGAAATAATTAGGCCTAGCTTATAGGTGTGTTTTCTTTAGTGCTTTGGGCATGTCACATAAAATACCAGGATAGAGACTAATGAGTCTAATGTTACTGTAAACAAAAATGATAATAATGATGATCTTTCTTAAATTTAGAAGTAATCTTTCATTATGGAGTTAGATTTCAAAATTGGAAATTTTCTAAATTTAGTATGATTGCTAAGAATATTGTGACTTTGATGAATATAGTCATCTGTTAGGAATACCACCATTTTTCTTGAATAGGTTTAATAAGGAAAAGAACTATGGTCTTCTTATATGGTTATAAATGTGAATACAATCAAGAGCAATACTACTAAGGTATGACATACACTTGTAAAAATTTAAGACTCTTATCCCACACAGTTTCATATTTAAGTGGTCATCCAAGTTGCTAACAAATCTAACAGTCATGCAGGGCATCTCAATAATTGTAAGGTTAAATCTGAGTGGGTTAAGCATATTTCACAAGTCCACAACATGTGGTACTCACCAAACACCTATAATACAAAGACACTTTGAGCCAAATGGTCTAATCAAAACTGACAAAGCAATCAACTTATATAGTAAGAGAGGTCAGATGTAGCAACACTTTCAAAACCTGAGTATCGGGAGCAAGTATTAAAACTCAATAGGGTGACAGTACTGGTACTCTAAGTGTCTGTAAACAAATGAAGAAATTCACACATAAACACAACTGTCTGGGATGGGGCTCTGTGGAATGACAGATCCATTCTCACATACCTTTCCCTTTGCAATGCATAGCATACTATTTACATCCACCTCTCTCTTAAACATATGGTGATGTCATCCATACTTCCCTATTCCTAATTTCATTTTTAACAATTTAATGAAGTTTAAAAAAGCTTTTCACATATTTACACACATTACACTTTTAATTATATATATTCTTATTCAGTTGTTTCAACAACAAACATTAAGTTTTTTTTTTTTAATTCAGATAAATGCATAAATGTATTTATATGAAGATATCTTTCATACAAGTAAAGTTTGGTTAAAAACAAGTAAGGATAGTTGACTTACAGTTATGTATGTATATGTGTGTTGTGTGTGTGTGTGTTTATCAATTTGTAAATCATAGTTCAGAATTTATTTTCATTACTTTTATTGCCCAAAATTATATATACTTATTGGATGCAAGGGTAATATGTTTTTCATATTGTTTTCTCTTTTTTAATAAATGATTTTCAAAATAGTTTATCCTTTTAATTTGACAAATAGCTTTTTTTTTTGTTTTTGTAGAAACAATCCCATAAATTATTCTCACTTTTAAATTGAAATCTGGTTTTTCTTACTAAATGTCAAATATTTATATTAAGGTAATATACACAACAGGTTTTCCTCTGTGTATGATCACAGGTGTGAAGGACCTAATTGTCCACATTAAATGCAACTGTTCAAAATGACCCTCATGGATGCATACAACATTATACTTACCTCTTCAGCAGGATAGTAAATCCACTTCCAGTACCAAAAGTTCTTAGGCACATGACCTGGTATCAAGTGGTGTTCTGGAACAAATGGAAAAAACCTTCCTCGACCTAGACTGTCTCGAGAATCCCCTGCTTGAACGCCAATACCTTCTAAGCACTTTCCTATCTCTACATCTTCAGACCCACCATTGTCACTTCTACAGTGAGACTTATCGCGTAAGGCCCTCTCCACGAACTGACTTAAAGCCACCTTACTCAAAACATAGCCTGCTCCTCCACTCATGTAACCTTGCTTTATATAAGGCTTGAAGCGACACCCAAAATAAATAGGCTCTGAGGAATTATGACTCATTAATAGGTAGCGAAGATTTTCAACAATAACATAAGTATCATCATCAGCTTTCATAAACCAATCAGCCTGATCAAAGTAGTTTTCATAGACATACTGGAAAGCCTGTTTTGTCTTACCCCACAAAAAAATTTCTTCCCTCTGACACATTAAGTTTCACAGAAGGCAGAGTTTTATCTTCCTCTGAACTCATGAAGAGGAGAACATTACATCGATGACCCCAGGTAGCTTTCACATGTTTAGCTTTTTTCTGGTGGTTTGTAGGATTGGTAAGAATGAAACATAAAACACGTACCTCCTTGGCCAAATTTTCTGCCAAAACACCTTCTCCTAGAAGTAAAAAGATGGAATACAAAATGTCCATCATCTACAAGGTATTCATAAATAAAAGTTTGAAGAGATTTTACAAGTTAACCATTATAGAATTCTTCTTAACTACTTAAAAAATTACTGTCACCATTTGAAAATAGTCAAAAGAAAGTTTCTCTCATTTTTATGATTTGGTCAAAACGTTTGTTAGTTGCTAAACGAAAAGTATAACAATCTGTATCACATGGATATAGTCCCATTAAATATTTTATGTACTACTAACTTCTTATAACAAAAAACATATCAACTCAACCAGCACTCAAGACAAGATTTTGTGTTATTATTAACCAACAGTATTGATAATTGTCTTTCTTGGCATACTCTTATATTGTTTAATGTGTTGTTTGTCACAAAAATATTTTGGTGTGTAAAATTTCAAGTAAACACATAGGATCATCATGTCTGTTTTGAATATTTGCACGAAGTTACACAAAGGCTACCTGCACTAGCTGTCACTAATTTTGAACTAACAGACTAGAGAAAGAAGACAGTTAGTTAGCTGCATCCATTGCCAGCTACTAGGTTATTCTAATTAAATAGTGGAGTTTGACACCCTGCATAACACACACATACCCTCAAATTGCAGTAATTCACAACTCAATATGCTAACTGCTAAGCCCTGCTTGGCACAGGTTTGATAACACTGCAGTGGATTACACTGGTAGCTGAAAAGAAAACTAATTCTATATCATACAAAAAGACAATGATATTGCATATGTTATTTGAACTAAATAACATAAGCTGTGCATATTTCATAATACCATTAATATAGTATGCTTAGTATGGAGAATTTTGAAAATTGTTTAACTGAATGTACATGGGCTTGGTTCATTGGATTAACTTCGAATTGGAGAAAGACTATAATTCCAAATTTATTATGGATATCTTCAAGAAATGTGGCAAGATTTTAGTAAAATGTACAAGTCTATGGTACACAAGAAATCAGATGTATTGGAAATGTATTTTTTCTCAAGATCTGTCTGTGAATTGATTATTTCAGTCTGACTCAGACTATGAGAAGTCAAAGTGCAAAATGATGTTCATATGAAGAATAAAAATACCCTTGTCCATTGTACAATTTGTGTAACCTATAGAACTTCTGAAATGCATATCTACAGTTTTTCTCAGTATCCCTGTACACTATATCTGGTATTTACTCTCATCTACCACAAACTGTCACTAAATCAGCAATATCGGATAAAATGAATAGTTCACAACTCTGCCAACAATACACAATACCAAGTTTAATGTGGCACTCTGTAAAGACTCTTGGCATGTTCACTATGACCCCACCTGTTCACAAATGGTTGGGAGTGGGTGGGGATAGAAACCGATTTCTAAAAGATTTCTGATCTTATTATAAGCAGTTATATGCATTTCTTCCCCTATATTCTCATCCCCACACAATTTTAACCTCTATTTGAATGGCTGTTAAATGTCTGCAGAACTTTTTTGCAATAATCAATGCCCAAAACTGATCATTTATGTATATATATATATATATATATATATGTGTGTGTGTGTGTGTGTGTGTGTGTGTATTAGTTGGTCTACTACTCCGTCTACACTATACTATACTATTTAA